ATGGCTTGAGGAACTGAGCCACTATTCCATGAAAGTCGTTCATCGGCCAGGCTCGAAGCACTGTAATGCTGACTCCCTATCCCGCCGTCCACCTCTGACAGCCTGCCCAAATGTAGACACTGATGTCCTTCCATCTCAGCTCCCTTGCCATGGCTGCAAGTACTGTATGAAGGCTCACCAGAACTGGTATGAATTTCGCCAGTCTGTTGATGATGTGCTGCCACTGTCCAAGGGTCCCAAGTTCCCCGAAGATCCCATTCACCAAGCACTCTTTTTTGACCACTCAATCACCCTCCAATGGAGGCGAAACTCAATCCACAAGGGAATCGCTATCTCCAGCATGGAATGACAAGCCTCTCTGCATAGACCAATCAAGTTTCAGGTGCGACCCGACAGACTCCCAATCAGTGAGGAACGTGAGCGAGTCTCCGAATTTCAGGTCAGCATCTCCAGGTGTCAACATTCTTGTAACCCCTGATGGTGCCCTGGATATATCTTTCGACAGATTGACTAAAAACCAGGTGTTTGAAGGAGCATTACCCTCCGCTGGAGGCTGTGCGTCCATCAATGAGGGTTACGCCGTATCTGCCAGAACAGACTCAGATTTCAGGGTCAGGCAAGCTCTCAAGGGTGATCTGGTACTCTCTGAGGATGAGATTCGCACCCACATTAGAGATAGCATTCTCAATGCTCAGAGGAATGAAAAAGATCTGGATATCATTCTGGAGTTCTTGTTGAATGGTGTAGAACCTACACAGAGTAATCTGAATCTATCCAGTCCAGCAAGCAAATTCTATTACCTGAACAAGGAGTTGTACCACATTTCTGACGGCATTCTGTATATGACCCTGAACTCCAAACGTCAATTGGTCGTCCCGAAGGATCTTCCCCATGGTTTTCTCTATTTGCATCACAATATTCCTCAGCAGGTCACCAGGGCCAGAAGCGAACCAAGGCTAGGCTCAAACCCAATTATCACTGGTATGGCATGTCGCGTGACATTCAACTTCATGTATCCACTTGCTCTGAGTGTAACTCGCAAAAGAAGGGCAATAGGAAGGCAAAACACCCCATGACAAATTTCGATGCAGGGGCTCCTATGGAGAGGGTTCATTTAGATTTTCTGGGCCCATTGCAAAGAACGCCTCGTGGCAATGAACACATTCTGATGATTGTAGACCAGTTTTCCAAATGGGTCAAATGTATACCCTTGCCTTCACAAGGGGCTGAGGAAACTGCCCGCGCTGCAGTCAATGAATTCTTTTCCCGTTTTGGCTTCCCGTTTGCTATCCACCCTGATCAAGGTGGGGATTTTGAGAGTAGGTTGTGCAAGGCCATGTGTGACACACTCCAAATTCACAAAACCAGGACAACTCCTTATCGCCCATCATCAAACGGCCAGGTAGAACGCTATAATCGCACACTCATGGATGCTGTCCACTGCTTCATCAAGGATCAGGAAGAATGGGATGTTCACCTGCCACTAATTGCTTTTGCCTTACGCAGTGCGGTCAACTGGAGTACAGGGTACACAGCCAATAAGCTGATGCTTGGCCGTGAGGTCACTACACCAGCAGACCTAATGTTTCCAGTGTTGCCGCAGGAAAATCACTTGGATGCAGATAGCTACGTCCAGACTATGACTGACAGAATGTGTGCAGCACACGAGACAGCTCGTAAAATGCTCCAGACCACACAGGACACCGCAAAAAGGGATTTTGATGTCAATATTTTGTTGAACCAGTACAATGTCGGTGATCTTGTTTTGGTGATGGACACAGCCACCATAAAAGGAAAATGCAAAAAGCTGATGACTCCTTGGAAGGGTCCCTGTGTTATAGCAGAGCGTATTTCATCACTGCTATACCGCGTCAAAAACCGAAATACCAACACCATCATGAATCATGATCGTCTGAAGCCGTATCAGGGCATTGATGTTCCAACATGGGCTCTCCGTTTAAGGGAATCCCTTCTCTCCAGCAAAGAAACCTCCGCTGGAGGTTTATCTATTTCCGCTGGAGATGCCACTCCCACCGACACAGGGGTCAGCCTAAGCCTAAAGAAGGGCTATCATGTGAGGAGTTGCATTGTTGGTGCCGGGAACCCGACGATGGGAAGTTAATGATTCAGTGTGAAACCTGTTTTTTGTGTGGTTTCATGAAGATTGTGTCAATATTACACCGTCTGCAGCTGAACCTATAGACCAGTACATGTGCAGAGGGTGTGAAGCCAAGACCTCATGGCTTCGCGTCCATGTCCCTCGTCCCTAAAATAACTGTACTTCTAGCCTTGGTTTATTGCCCTTTAAGTTTAGGATTATCTTTGAACAGGAAATGTTGAGTTGAAATATCTCGATTTGAAAATTGTCTGTTTCAATTTTGTTTTGATATCCAAAGTTTAAAATTGTGCTTTCTGCACAGTATTGCTCATCCAGAAGATGTCGTCGATGTGGATATAAATATGGAATGGGACATAGAGTCAGAGGGTGTCCCCATTCTTCCTTTTCTCCTTTCCCAACGGCAGCAGGGAGGGGGGAGGAGAGACTGACGTTTGATATTTCTTTTTGAGTTCAGAGAACTCTCCAGTTACAGTGTCACATATACCGAATATAGAACTCTCCAGTTACAGTGTCACATATACCAAATATAGAACTCCCCAGTTACGGTGCCACATATACCGAATGTAGAACTCCCCCGTTACGGTGTCACATATACCGAATATAGAACTCTAAAAGTTACGTTGTCACATATACCAAATATAGAAATCCCCAGTTACGGTGACACATATATAGCGAATATAGATCTCCCCAGTTACAGCGTCATATATACCAAATAACTACATGCTCAGCCCGAGCATTGACATGACAATAGAAAAGGGTTCAAAATATACTCTCCAAAAATGGAAACGCATATAGGAATTTCAACTGTATTTTTATGTTTATTTTGAAGCAGCTGATAGGCTTTATGAGTCAATGAAATATAGCGAAATTGCACACTGGGAATGCAGACTTATCCGTCTTTGGCACTAACTCGAGGAAAGTCTGTTTCAATGTCACATGGAGACGTGTGGTGGCGCTGAAGTCAGTACCTCACCGTGGGCATACAGAACTGCACGGCATCGCCTCGGCATCGAGTGAATAAGTCTCAGAATCTCGTGTTGCCCAATCGCAGCCCACTCTGCCTGTAGTGCCTGTGCGAGTTGCTGAAGTGTCTGGGGCTGAGGGTTACGGCGTCGCACCTGTCTGTCCAGGGCATCCCACAGATGTTCGATCGGGTTTAAGTCCGGTGATCTTGAGGGCCAGGGAAGCACATTGATGTTGTGGTTCTGGAGGAAGCCTGTAGTGTGACGTGCTGTGTGGGGCCTGGCATTGTCCTGTTGAAACAACTCCCTCTGGCGATCAATGATTGGAAGGAGGCGTGGGCGTAGGATTTCGTCATAGTACCGTTGAGCTGTCAGGTTACCCTGGATCATCACCAAATCACTTCTCCCACGGCAGGTGATCCCCCCACATTATAACACTTCCCCGGCCGAATCTGTCCAACTGGGGAACGCAAGCGTCGGCGAAACGTTCACGTCGACGTCTGTACACCCGCATTCTTCCATCGCGTCTTTCCAATAGAAATCGTGATTCATCACTGAACCAGATTCAACGCCAATTCGGTAGGTTCCAGGCCTGAACGTTGCTGCACCATTGAATTCGATGTCGACGATGTTGTTGTCGAAGCACAGGGCCAAAATAAGGTCTTCTGGCACGTAAACCAGCCTCTCTCAACCTGTTCCTGACGGTCTGTGCAGAAAGCCTCCTCAATCCGGGTATTTGTCGAGCGGTAATGGTCGCCGTAGCTGTTCGATGACGCAGGTGATGTACCCGGATGTAGCGATCCTGCGCCGCAGTGGTCGCTCGAGGTGGTCGACTACGAGGGGCATCTGCTACCCCATTCTGCCGCCGATATCTCTCCCAGAGCAGTGAAATGGTGCTTTGGTGAACATTCATGCGTCGGGCAACTGCACGTTGAGACTGGCCAGCTTCAAGCAAACCAATGGCGATATGACTGATGGCTTCACTTAGACGTGGCATTTTGCGTTCGTCAACAATATTCCCAATACAGTGAATAATCGACAGACAGCGATCAACCTTTTATACTCATCATTGAGACTATCTGATCCTCAACTTTCACGTGCATTACATGTGAATTGTGTATTCTGTGACACTACACGCCGAAATAGCAAATCATGATTTTAAATACGGGTATTTTACGGATGGTGCGTTTTGTTGTGATGTTTCAAAACATAAACACCATAGGACTCATAAACAGAGCAAAACCTTTTGTAAAATGAATCAAGTTTTAATTCATTGCTACATGAAATTGCTATTTTCATGATGCGGTTCGTTTTTGGGAGAGTATACACACTACCCAGAGAACGTGTGATCGATACAGCTATCGTTAAATAGGTTGGGGATAAAAAACTGAAAATTGGCAATGAGCAGTCGATATCGGGCATGACCACCCCTGTTGACCAGACATGCCGGACTTTCCTTGAATTCTTCTGGTGAGGTGACAATGACTTCTCAACATATGTTGTTCCACCAATACGTGAGAGTAGATCAGAGTTCCATGAAAGTGGTGTTTGGATTTGAAGTTGACGAACACGTTGACTTGAACCTTTGACCATTAATAACCAATATTATGTTCATGGTGGAGTTCTTGTTTCGGCAGCTTCCGACTGTATCTTGTTATCCAATATCTACTGGTATTGTTATCCAATATCTACTGGTATTGTTATCCAATATCTACTGGTATTGTTATCCAATATCTACTGGTATTGTTATCCAATATCTACTGGTATTGTTATCCAATATCTACTGATATTGTTATCCAATGTCTACTGGTATCATGAGTGATTTTATGTAATTGAATTAAGAGTTTGGAATGAAATATACTCCATTTGTTTTGATGTTCTTACATATTAGACACTGAGACCTGGAAAGTATGTCCGAGATGGTGACGAACATCCTGTCGCGCCTGCGCACATTGCCTGTCCGCGGTATGCTGACTGTAATTGGCGGGTTCCTAATTCATAGCACCCTCAGCACCGGATACATCTTTGGTAAGTTAATTGTGCGGAGAACAAGTATTCCTCTCACCGTTGCTCCACATATTGTAATATGGTTTATACTGAAACCATATAGCCGGTAATGCTGTTCCAGAACAAAACAGTCGTGTATATTGCATGTGTCAGTGTTCATGAATATGTAAAATCCCGTTATTCAGTTAACAGTTATCAGTCCAGTTAACTATGGTTTGATAGCAACAGGAACACGTCTCAATGAAGAACACAAAATAATTCTACAAAACAAGCATCGATATCGGAGGACACAGGGACAGGACACAAACACATAACCTTCACTTATAGAGAAGTCGATATACCAGAAGCTTCACTTGTAGAGAAGTACATATACCAGAAGCTTCACTTATAGAGAAGTCGATATACCAGAAGTTTCACTTGTAGAGAAGTCCATATACCAGAACCTTCACTTGTAGAGAAGTCCATATACCAGAACCTTCACTTGTAGAGAGTCAGTATACCAGAACATTCACTCGTAGAGAAGTCCATATACCAGAACCTTTCCTGACAGAGCAGAACATATACAGAACCTTCCCTGACAGAGCAGAACATATACCAGAACCTTTTCTTCTAGAGAAGTCCATATACCAGAGCCCTTACCGATAGAGCAGAATACTTTCCAGAACATACACTGATATAGCAGAGCACACCGGAATCTACCCCACAATGCAGAAATCTCATCAATGGAGTGGATTTTTTTATAATCCTACAGTGATGGAAGGAGTGTTTAATATCATGTTTTCACATCAACAAGTTAACCATATACATATGAGTAAAATGTCGACATCTTCAGTATGAAGTGTCAAATAAATGGGAGAACGTTCTTTTTGTTATGACACGTTCACCTGTTTTCTTTCCGTCAGTACATACACAATCACATCCCTTGTTTCCAGGCAACATGACACCCTATCTGACGTCATTTCTGCGTGCCAGAAGTGGGTCGACTGACGCTACGTACTCAGAAACTGTTTGGATCTCTACAGCGAACTATTTGTCCTTGGCATTTTGTATGCCCATATTAGGCTGGATAGAACAGAAACTGTCTCCAAGGATTTGTACGCTGATTGGTGGACTTATCTTCAGGTATTCTTCCACAATCAGTGTAGATCTTAACTCTTAGTTTTGTAAACACAGTTTCCACTTTTCAGAGGACTAGGCTGGCTCAGTCGGTCAAGCGTCTGAATAGGCTGTGCAGAGCTACATTGTTTAGACTTCCGGAAATCCATGATTGTGGATTCGAATCCTGTTTGCCCTTTTTCTTATTTTTGTTTTCCCTCCATCTGAAACATACAAGCGGTAACAAACCTCAACAGACCGTAACAAGTTATCTGTGCTACAGCAATACGTAATGTACTCTCTTCCAGTTCCGGTATGCTCCTCACCTACTTCACCATGCAACATTCCCTCCTCTTGACGGCCTTGACCTATGGCGTCCTCAATGGCGCTGGGAAGAGTATGGCGTTCCCTGGAGCTGTGAAATGTGCCTTCAAGGTCAGTTGCAAAATATTGACGTGGGAGGGGCAATAAGAGAAGGAGGAATGGACTCAGTCTTGTCAGCAATGTCGTGGACGAGAAACAACATCGTGTTAGGAAACTTTCAAAAGGGTTATTGGGCTGAGTGAAAGGGATTTTACGTCAGTTTCAAATTTTTTTTAAAAGCATTGTATCGTATTAGGCTAATGTATACTCAGCAGCAAAACGAACGTCAGTACGAATTCAAAATGAGATTTCTTGACACATCAATGAATAACTCAGCACAATTCCAAGACATTACGTGAACGTTTGCAGTCCATTCAGACTCTTGACTTCCGTATCTAGTGTGACCACCACGCGCGGCGATAACTGCAGCACAGCGTCTATGCATGGAGTGCACCAATCGATTGATGAAGGCCATTGGCACCTGGAACCACACTCTGAGAAAGACCTGTCGCAATAAATCGGCTGTGTTCGGCCTTGGTATGACATTATTCGGCCTCCTCTGAATTTCATCCCAAAGATGTTCAATTGGGTTTAAATCAGGACCAAGGGCTGGCCACTGCATAATGTTGACACCGTTCTGCTGTAGGAAGTCCCGTGAAGCTCTGGCAGTGTGGGCCGGGCGTTATCATGCTGGAAAATGTTGTTCCAGTGATGTGCGAAATGTGGTATGACTGGGGGTCTGAGAGCTTGGTCGATGTAGCGCACCGCTGTGATGCCGCATCCTCTCCCTGGACCAAGGTTCTGGAACACCACAGGACCCACTTTCTGGTTCAAACCTATTCCACCCCATACCATGATGCTTGCACCTCCCCATGAGTCTCTTTTCATAACACATTGGTCTGAGTCGTCACGTCGTCGCCATATTCTTGTTCTGCCATCTGTAGTTGATACGCAGTACTGACTCTCATCTGTGAACAGAACAGTTCTCCATTGCCTGTATCGCCAGTTTTGGTGTTGTAGGGCAAACTGTAGACGTTCACGCCGATGACGAGGGGTAAGGATAGGTCCACGGTAATGTCTACGGCAATGAAGGTTCGGCGTACTTGGTTCCCGGTGTTGAGACGTCGGCGTACTGTATCAGTACTGATTGGTAGTGATTGGCAACGGCGTGTGCAGTGTGGCCAGCTTCAAGTCTTCCTAGCGCCTGGTTTCTCTCAGCTGCCGTGAGTCACGACATCCTGCTGATGTTGTAATGTGAATGTTTCCACCAGGTTTGGGGGTGCATTTTATAGGGCTGGTCCTTGTGAACAGCACGTGCAGCATGAGGTGCATGAAAAACATGGAGAACACCGTACTATCTCCGAGATTAGGATGCGTTTTTGAGACCATTTCCTGGGTTCCATTCTGAGTTTGGCTCAGGTAAAGTTGGAGATGTTGTCAACAATATACAATCAAAACATTAAATGAGTTCACAGTTATCCGTTTCTGCGAACGAAAATTCCAAACTGACGTTTCTTTTGCTGCTTTGCATATATAAGAGCTCCGGGTACTGTATACTACCGGAATAAAGTAACTGTGCATTATTTGATGTTATGTCATATTTAATGCAAAAACATGTTAACGTGAGTTGTGGCGTTTTCCATCCTTAATCATTATTGAACTGTTGACAAGATAATATCGAAATCTGTGTGATTTGACGCTAGGCATCGTGACACGTCCTTGAAGAGATGTGGTGTTAAAAGACAGTTCACAAATTCAGTATCGTGTGTGTCCACCATTAGCGTTGATGCAGGCTTAACAACGACGACGCATAGACGACACTAAGCGATTGTAGAAAGCTTGGGGAATGTTGTTCCATGTCTGAACCAACGCTTGTCCCAATTCAGATTCTGGACTTGACGTAAACGTCGCTCCATTTCAACTCAAGCGTGCTCGATAGCGGCCAGATACGGAGAAACAGCTGGTCTGGGTAGTACCGGAATGTTCTGCTGTTTCAGGGAATCTGTCACAATACGAGCGATACTTGGACGGGCATTACCTTGCTGAAGCGTGAATCTATGTCTCTGTCCTTGAATGAACGGCTGCACATGAGGCCCACTGATCTCATCCGTGTATCGCAGACCTGCCAGATTGCCATTGACAATGACAAGTTGTGTCCGACCATGAGATGTGATGTCTCCCCGTTCGCGCATTTTTGGATGAAATTTACCTTTTCCATAAGATTCAGAGGCTAGAGAATAATCAAAATGCTCTTGAGTTTTAAGTATCAGGTGTGTGGACTTCAGGTGTCAAAAGCATGCAAACGGTGAGCACGTTCATTGTGCACAAAGTGCGCGTGCCTCGCGAAATAGGTGACATGACATTTCATGCAAAGAGCTTTGCTACATGTTTATTTAGGGATATTTTATAACTTTTCAAATAACCTTTATTTTATGCAATTTAATGTTATTCACAGTTACTTTTTTTCGTTAGTATATTCTGATGGGCGGACCCTGGATCACCAAATGCTATTGCTTGTTCTTGGAAGAGGGAAAATTAGATGATTGATTGTGTCAGATGTGTGACTAAGTCGATCACGATGACTTGGTTGGTTACGTGCCATCATGGTGACTTGGTTGGTTGTGTGCCATCATGGTGACTTGGTTGGTTGCGTGCAATCATGATGACTTGGTTGGTTGCGTGCCATCATGGTGACTTGGTTGATTGTGTGCCATCATGGTGACTTGGTTGGTTGCGTGCCATCATGATGACTTGGTTGGTTGCGTGCCATCATGATGACTTGGTTGGTTGTGTGCCATCATGATGACTTGGTTGGTTGCGTGCCATCATGGTGACTTGGTTGATTGTGTGCCATCATGGTGACTTGGTTGGTTGCGTGCCATCATGCAGACTTGGTTGGTTGCGTGCCATCATGGTGACTTGGTTGATTGCGTGCCATCATGATGACTTGGTTGGTTGCCTGCCATGCAGCATTCCCTCCTTTTGACGACCTTGACCTATGGCGTCCTCAATGGCGCTGGGAAGAGTATGGCGTACTCTGGAGCTGTGCCCTCAAGGTCAGTTTCAAAATACCGACGTGGCAGGGGCAAAAGAGTAAAGGAGAGAGAGATTCACTCTTGACAGGAATGTCATGGGGGTGAAACCGCATCGTGTAAGAAGTTATTGGGCAATTTACGTCAGTTTAACAAAAAATGTCAAAGGCATTGTATCGTATAAGGCTAATGTATATAAGAGTTCCGGATAATTATTCTGATGGGTGTACCCTGAAGCACCAAATGCTATTGCTTGTTCTTGAAAGAGGGAAAATCGAATCGTTGATTGTGTCAGATGTAAACAACTTGTATCTTTCCTGATACTTGTAATTCCTGTTTTCAATCATGAGCTTCCCTGGGACAAGCAACTTTGAGCATTGCTTGTCAAAGGCAACCGAATAATGGATATGATAATATCGCAGCGACTCGGTGGATTGTCTGCCATCATGATGACCAGGTCGATTTACAGCATGCCGCTGACCGAAATATGGTGGCCAGTTAGTGCGGGATGACTACAAACCATTCAGCCCGGGATAACCGGAAGTATCCATCCACACTATACAAACATCCTCTGTTTCAGTGGTTCCCCAACAGATCAGGTCTCGTGACAGGCATCATTATCTGTGGAATCGGGTTTGGAACCTTCGTGTTCAACCAGGTCGTCACGGCCTTCATCAACCCTGACAACTTCTCCCCTGATGAAACAATCAAAGATGATTTGTAAGTGTTTCTAACTGTTCACCAAACCGCGTTGGTGTTACACGTGCAACGAAGAGTTTATTTCCTTTCTCAGGGGTCTGATATGTGTTCATCATTGGTCTCAAAACTCGCCTTTTTATTTCTCTTTCGATGGAACCAGACTGTGATTTGTTTGTCAAAACAGCAAACGAGCGTCTTTACACAAACTCGTGAAGAATACACGGTGAAGTTGAGATTAATGGTGATATACAGTAAAAATCTTAAATCAAACGATTCATAAAGCACGTAAAAAGATATATTTTCAAGAAGAATTTGTTCTTATGTCAACATTTGTAGCCAAAAAACATGAAACAAACTTCTTGTGTTCCGGAAACTACCGTGAGTTAATGTGTTTGGCTGGAGGATGGGTGAGTGGCAGCAGTATAGTGTCCTTGATCACACCGCTAGCTGTTTAGCATACAGTTTGAGACACGTAACTTCTATAACCTTAACTCACAGATAAACTGACTATTTCCGTAATTACACATTGATACCGATTGTATCCTGTCTAGGTACTTCACACAGAGCTCCCTTCTAGACAGGGTACCATACAGCTTCCTGCTGCTGGGCGGGGTCTACACAGCCATACAGATCCTCGCCGTCCTCTTCCTCATAGCCACGCCCACAGACACGCCCACACAGGTTACTATATCTTGTATCTCTTGTATTAGCTGCCAATCCCTTCGTTCCGTAACCTTGAACAAGTCAATAACAAAGAAAATAAGAACGTGCGTATTACACTATTAGTTTGTATAAAAGAATACATTAGTATGTGTTTTCCAATATGTGTGTTCAGGATTGTAAAAATTAAGGAATCTATAAAGGCTTATTGAGACATGTATTCTCAAACAACGGATATACTTAACATGAATTGACATATGATAATGAAATTTACGGCATTCACATGAAGTAAAAGTGATTCCATAGAGTTTGGCTGTGGTTATTGACGATTCTGTTTCCATAAAACAAAACAACAAAAATGTTATGCAACGCCTCCTGGCGGACTACTTTCGACGCTTGTGTTATATAATTGCGCTGACGTATTTCACATTTTTCCTATCATGGCCTACATTGTTTTCAACGATTAAGTAAGTAGTCTGTGAAGATATTCTTGTTTTAGGAACTATAGGAATCTGTTACTCATAAGAAATTGCTTCAATAAAAACTATACTGGAACCATTTCTTGTTTAAACCGAAAATAATTGTTTAAAACAAAAATAACATGTTAGGTTATTTTTTTCACATTTTTAACATTAATGTTTTACATTGTACTGTGACGATATGACCATACATGTACAGGAAGTCAACGTGGAGAAGAGCCCTGATCAAGAGAAGATGCCGGATGAAAAGATGAAAGAAGATCTCGACACCGTATCCAGCACAGACAGGTGACTTTGTTTATGATGGACGATTGGTAGTCAAGTGTTGAATCAAGTTGTAAATGTATTATTGTTTGAGTGAGTGAGTTTACTTTTACACCGCTTTTGGCAATATTCCATCAAGATCACGGCGGAGTACAACAGAAATGGGCTTCACACATTGCATCCATGTTGGGAATCGAACCCGGGTCTTAAGCGTGACCATTTGGTTACCCCATCGACCAGTATTGTTTGAAATGGGTGGAGAATTATGACAATTTTGGCAACGCCTTCTGAAAGTGGTGAGACGGCACTGGTCGAGGCCATCTACGTCACGACGATGTTCTTCTGTGAATATGATACATTATAAAATATCAAAAACTTGCAAAGGCAAATTGATTTAATGTTACTTTAAGTATTAACAGATATGTCTGCATTACTCCTCCTGGGGAGAGTTACAGAAGGAAAAATGAAGCAAAACGTGATACTATAAAATAAATATGAGGGCGGTAAATTACGGATTCATGGTCACTGGAAAGTTGTCACAGATCTTGCAGAAAATTGCAGATAATCGACAGATACTGTAGTTCAACAGAGAACCGATATATACCAGAAACACAACAAGTTTTCTTTGATTCGATTCCAAATTATTGTCGTTAAATGTTTTGGGCGGCTTCATGTAATGCCTACAGCCCATGTTGCCTCCAGTCAATACAACGTCCTGTGTGTACTGTTCTGAAACCCTCTTCTCTTGACCGTAATGAACCAAACAACTATAGGGGAGCCTCCCTTTCTCGACACTGTGATACATGCAACAAAAACCATTTCCTTTTTCATAAGACGCTTCTATGAACAAAGTCAATATTGGAAAAATTGTCTAAAAAGTCATTTTTCGATTCATAGGTCAAAATAGGGAACTGCATCAGATATGACGGAACACAACAATATTAATAACTGTATTATGTAACTGCCCACTGATATATGGAGGCAATGCTGACTAACCAACCTTTGCATGGCCGTCCCCAGTGGTGACACTGATGACGACGATGGCAACTACACTCCACGTCAGGTTCTTCGGTCGAAGCTGTTCTACTTGCTGTGGGTCATCTACGGCTGTGTGGCCCTTGGCTTTTTCTTTGTGACGAACTTCTACAAGGTAAGAGTGGCAGAGTGAGTGAGGGGATTTTACAACGATTTGTACAGCATTGCAGCCAACAGGGCTTGTAATCCCAACAGTGTGAACATTGTGTTGACAATACAAGCGTCATAATGAAGGCGAATTTTGCATTTGAGCATTCAACTTACATTTGATTAAATCAGGATGCATGGATTATGTTTTTTAAAGTACATTTGTTCTGGTTTCAATGTGGACAGCCATGGTACTTCTCTTCTTTGGTATATTGGGATAAATGTCTCTGTGTGTGTGTGTGTGTGTGTGTGTGTGTGTGTGTGTGTGTGTGTGTGTGTGTGTGTGTGTGTGTGTGTGTGTGTGTGTGTGTGTGTGTGTGTGTGTGTGTGTGTGTGTGTGTGTGTGTGTGTGCGTGCGTTCATGTGTAATAAGAATACTTTTTTCAGAAACTAAAGAATATAAAATACTAACAACAATATCGATTTGAAAGGAATATACATTACCTCATTGCAGACATTTTCCCAGACTTTTATCATAGATGACCATTTTCTGGCTCTGGCCGGCTCTGTCGGATCGGCCTTTAATGCTCTGGGGCGACCGGTCTGGGGAGCCGTGGGGGACAAGATAGGCTACAGGGTAGGTCCAGGGGTGTTTAGCGGGAGGAGTCAAAGTTAAAATAGTTTACTTTTAGTTCATATCCTGGAATTCGAATCTCCAAATTCCGCTTTTGAAGTAATTGAAAAATGAATGTTTCAGTTTTAGGTGGATAGTCCGTAAACGAACATGATCCTATTTTTAGTTTCTGTAGAACGAAAATCGTCATTTCTTAAGGATGTAAATAAATGTTTACAAGATCTCTTGATGAAGTATTCTTGATTCTCAACAAGTTCATGTAAAATATATCCTTCATCGGACAAGCGATGAAAAATCCCTTTACGTTTTTGTATTTGGTACATCTTTTCTGTTCTGTCTTTCTTCACTCTTGTCTGACAACGGTACAAGAAGCTACGGTCACAAAGCATTGCGTCGAAGTTGTAGGGACCCACGTAAATACTTCGAGTTATCCGAGGTGCGACACAGCCGCAACATGATGACTAAATAAGGAATATGCTGTGACCCAACTTTTACTTCTAGACAAACCTTCGACACATCAAGTTCTATACAACAGTGTTTGACTGTATAACGAAATGTCGTAAAATGATGTAGAAATGGCCATCCATAAAATAATTTGCCATCACTGTCATTTACCTGCTTCTGAAAGTGTCAAACATTTACGGTAACGGTTAAAAATATGAAAGAATAACCTACTTTATCAAAGAATAAACTTCTTCATGCGTTCTTTCACTTCCTACAAATATGTTATATATGTATGAATGATTTACGTTAATCACCCGAATACCTCTCACACAGGAATCACTCACTATTGTCATCGGGGTGTTTGGAACAGCAGGAGCGACCTTCACCTTGTGTGAATATGGCGGGAAAGTGATGCTGATGATCTGGCTGTGTCTGATCTACGGGACAATCTCGGGATTCTACGCCCTAATGATCTCATTGACAGTCTCGCTGTATGGTCAGAAGTACTACACCGTCAACTACGGCCTACTCTACACCTGCATGGTGAGTTTACGACATCAACTGCCTATTCTTCCTGTCATTTACAGGGAGAGTCTCAGCCACACGCTGGTGCATCCAAATCTAAGTACAGACGTTGTCAAATTTTCTGCCATCACAAACTGTTGCACAAAAAACATATTTCGGCTCATAATTTCAATTTAGAATATCTTGTTTTGCGCCAGCAGCTCAAACACTTTCCAGTCTCTATATACAAAATCTTAGAATACAGGTCTTATATTTCGAAAATAAAACAGGGTCGTCTATTTCAAATTAGAAAACCGGTGCAGATCAGCAGATACATGTTTTGATATAACGAACAGGAATGCTACACTATTCTTCAGTGGTAACTGTAAATGTTCAATAGAGCATACATCGTGAGCAGCACAAGTCAATATATATTATTAAAGTACCCATGCAAATGGAATGGTGTTTATTTGTGTATTACTTCATTAAAATAGGTAGTTTTAACAAATATTAAAATAAATATGTTTTTCCCCAACTAGGCCTTTTCATTTTGGTCCTCTAATCACCATCCAAATTGCCATTTTACAGGTAAAAACAACAAAAAATTGCAGATTTTGAACAAATTTAGAAACATGTTATAACTTACGTCACAATCAACAATGGGTGGTAGCAACAACCTGCAGCACTGTTTAGATGGGAAGATGCATTTGCACGTGCGTTGCCATAGCGATTGTGCAATTGACAATCAAAGCTGTGAATGAGCTCGTGAAAATAATACAGGCATCCCTAAATCAATTATTTTGTATATCAATTAGGATAAAAGAAATAAAGAATGAATGGTATATGATGTTTTTCATGAAATATATCATGTACGCGAACCTATGGAGATTATATCTCATTTGCATAGTATAGCTTGCATCAAGAATATCCGTTTCGACTTCGATGAAATTTCAAGGGGTAAAATGACACGATTTGCTCTCCTATAAACTCATCTATTTCGGATGATTTCACAAAAACTGCTGGAAAAAAAAAGTTGGGAAAGCGATAGTTATAGAATAGTTTACAATCAAACCTTAGTTGTGTTCAAAGTTACACAAAATCGCTTATATGTTTATCTCTATTTCCGTGTGTACCTAAGTAGACACGAGTGTACCGTTGTTCGCTGGAGTTCGGTTAAATGTTCAACAGTGTTCACATTCGTGTGTATGTGATCGAATCAATGACCTACTGCTCTGTCCCTTGACCACGAGACGGTCACATTGACCCACAAACAGTTCTGCACTTGGATTGTCGTAGCCCCACATTTTCACTTGCGATAGTCGTTAAGCTCAGGTATCAGTCCAGACCACGCTCAACCGAGAGAGAAGGCATGTTGGAGCTTGTATACAACACATGACAGCTTAACTTTAAGTGGCTGTTCTGTTGAAAAGGTTCAGGCTCATAACACCGACCTTTCGACCAAACTGCACGGTTGAGTGGAAACAAAATATCGGCGTCCTGAGACTAGTTTCATTTTGCCAATTAATAAAGGATTACGACGACAATGAAGGATCAACGAGTTGGCAGAAGAGACTAATCCGGATTATGCGGATGAGAGCACACCTAATGAGAAGACGACAACAGTTTATATTTTTATCAGTTTATTTCCATACTTGAAGCACTCATCTACAAACTCAGTCTACAGATTTTAACGGTTTTTTTACAATGATTCACACAAGATATTTTTAACAAATACATCGCATATCCGATGCGTATTCATGATACATATAGCACACATTTTGTCAGAGATTGACCCACAGATTTTAACCCAAATGCAACAGGTGGAATGCTGAATCAGCAAACTGTCTCACGGACAGTGTCCCTTGTCTGAGTTGGTGACGTATGTCATCCAGTCGTGGCTCCAAGTCCCTGTATTTCTTCTTCTTGGACGGACGCTTCTGGACAGCAGCGTACTAGACCACCTTGTTGTTGTTGGTTCTTGGCCCATCTGAGTTGTGGTGGTTCCACTGCGTTCCACTGCGATATGTTCACCTAGTGCGACGAGTTCACCTTATCAAAACATCTAGAGTAGATTATCCGCAACCCTAATTACGCCTAGTCAGAACCTAACCTTCAAAGGAAACCGCAGGTCGGCGTCCTGAGACTAGTGGAAAATCGAAAGGTCGGCGTCCTGAGACGACACCGTTGAAAACGGTTTCCAACATTTTTCAGTTGCAGGCACAACAAACTGTAACGACTATCGTCTTGCCAAATGTGGTTCTGAAGAGTATGACGCCCACCAAATGATATCATAGGAGTTTCAAAAAAAAGAGATTTTATCCAAAAAGAAATTACCCCAGAAAAGAACAGAAAAATCGACATTTGACCACAAAATATACATTGGACCTCTCTGTTCCAGATTGTAGTTCAGCTGGCAGGTGCGCTCCTGACGTCACAGCTGAAATCCGCTATTGGATGGCAAGGGATACTGTACATAGGAGCCGGAGGGATCATGTTCAGTACGTACATAAATATACTTACAGTGGATTTAGGGATTAAGGGGATAAGTTTTGTTTTTGTGTTTGTAACGTCGACACGTACTGGAATCCAATGACCATTATTACGAATCCAAGGTACACTTTGAATCTTATTCTAGCTTTGTGAGCAGGCCTATTAGAGTACGAAGTATTTCGCCGAAGGGGTAATTAATTGCCTGAGACATGGATCATGTCAGGCTTTCATCTTGCGTCTTCACATACGTTTGTACTCGTAACACTTTAGCAACTAACTGTTTAGCAATAACAGTCACTTAATCGTAGAAATAGGCCATAATATATTGCAGACATAAATACCCACTTGTTCTATATTGGTTTAAAATGATTTTTAGTAGTTCCCCCAGCATTTAGATCCATTGAAATCCATTAAATTTTCATGGTTGCCATCATAGGGCGTTATGCTTTACAAATGCTTTACAAATTCTTTACAATTTGGTATTGTTCTGGTTCGTTTCTGCAGGTTTCTGTTTGTGTTGTGGAATGCTTGTACAGTACCGACTGGCCAAGAGGAAGGATAAAAAGTTAGGAAACAAACACGTCGAGAATACAAACACGTCTGTTGATACCCGTCTGTAAAATGTGAAACTGAGCAACAGTCGGAAGGAAATTTAGGGAAGTGACAATTGTGCTCTGTTGGAATAATAGCGTTTTATCACAACGCTCACAGTAGATGGAACCAGGTAAAACGCATGTACATAGGAAGAATTCATACTGTACAATGTTCTAATAAAACAAATCGGTCTATGTGAGCTGTCGATGTTTTTGTTGAGGTGATGGTGTATCAACTGACAGTGAAAGGATTGACAAGTAATGTGACTGATATCAGTGTTTAAAACTCCCAAAATTTCAAGCTAGACAGCCGGACTGGTTACTTTAAAAAATAACAAGTCCGGATACACACTTGCCTCTCCATTTTTCAACAATAAAAAACAAACAAAATCAGGTAAGTCAGGCTACTGTTTGTAGGCTACATAGCACCAACAGGCAATGCAGCGAGTTTAGGTAAACTCAAAGTACACGTGTTGTGATTGGTTATCGTAACATGAACTGTCCAATCGTAAGTAGTTTAACATAATCATCATAATACCCTAAACACCTCAAACTGACGACAAGAGAACCTGTCAGATGTTATTATATTTTTACTGTTAGGGGTAAAAATATCTACCAGACCACCGGACAGGCTACTTTTGAAATTTGACCGTCCGAGACGAAAATAGACCGTTCCGGACGGTCGGGCTGGCGGGACTTTTAAACGCTGCTGATATTGATAAATATTGACGACCACGTCCGATACCGTGCTGGCAATAAAGATGTAGAGATGAAACAAAGACTCCTCCCTTTCTCTTCGGGGCGGTGGGGTAGCCTAGTGGTTAAAGCTTTCGTTCGTCACGCCGAAGGCCCGGGTTCGATCCCCTCGTGGGTACAATGTGTGAAGCCCATTTCCGGTGTGCCCCGCCCTGATGTTGCTGGAATATTGCTAAAAGCATCGTAAAACCATACACACTCTCTTCTTCAAACTGTTTAATTTTGCTGATCGTAACTTAATGTATCTGTTTATGTCAGTCATGTCCTCTACACCTCTACATCCCATTGCAGATATAAATAGGGAAATAGAAGAGTGTTAGATATGAAAGGTTTGAGTTAGCTGTGACATGTTCAGACGGTGTATAGTTCACGTCTAGTGTTTGCAAGGCACACTTAGGTGTTTAAATCATTGAATCTACATGATTGTGAATTGCTGCGAAGGAATAATGTCAGACATCGTCGCCACCCTTCACCCTTTCTGGTGTCCCCCGCCGTGATATTGCTGGAATATTGCTAAAAGCGGCGTAAAACTTAACTCAGTCAGTCAATCAGTCACCCTCCCCTCCTTATCCTCCCGAACATCACCACCGTCAGCCAGGCGCTGCTCCACCTTCTGTGCAGTGGGCTACCCTCGCCAAAAGTGGGTTTGGGCGTGCCTGCATCAACAGTAACAGTCGTTCCAGCATCCAAAAACCTGTGCAACATTCAAAGATGATTTTTGAAAAAGTTATGAACTATCCAAAAGAATAGTTGAAATCTTATCAATTGTTATTCCACATGTTCGTTTCTGAAGGTTTCGTCTTGTGAGAAAACCAAACACAGAAACAAACACACCGAGACATGAGACATGTGCGTGAAATGGAAAGTTGTTCGGCAATTTCCTACCCTTATAACGGCTGCCTGTTACCAAAAGGGGCCCAGACAAACCAGTGGTTGACATCATGGCCAACATCTACGCCGTAGGATTAGTGGGGGAAAGTTCTAGCCCTGATTTCCCTACCAGGTACCTTGGAGTAATGTGAATAAGGTGAGGTGAGGTGAAATTGGGTTTAACGTCATGCTTGAGAATATTTCGCTCATATGACCCCTGGCTGCCGAGTTTTTTTTCAGGCGCACATTTTCATACAGTTTGAAAAGTGAACGTTGTGCGAGAATTGCTCTCGCGTGGTCCTGGATCTACGTAAGGCTATAAAATTACACAGAAATGTAGAATATTAAATTTCCTATCCGTTGGTATAAATATAAGTGCAACTACCTTGGCGGTTTGAGAAATAGACCTTGCTAAATGTTGTCCAAATTTTTGTTATGCGTTAAAAAACAGTAAATTTCTCCGCTTTTTATCGCGCACCGATAAAAGCACTGTGCTACGAATTTTTTAATGGGGCATCTTTACGGAAAGTGTGAGCGAAGAAAATACAGCCTGATATCTGAACGACATAAGTGTATATGAATTGGGTTTATGTGCTTGTGCATAACGTTATACGCTCAACATTAAAAATGACTCGCAATAAATGTCAAAAATGTATTTTCTTCTATGACGTCAAACGACGACAGAGAGGTCATAAACGTATAATGATAAGGGGGCATAACTCCGTTATGCGTAACACTAGGTCAATGTAACTCAGATCACTTGGAGAAAATGTGTTGTGGATACGGACGCTATATTTTCGTTATTTTATATTCATGGTGAACCTCACTATTCCAATTCAAAGTTCCCCAATGTGAACGGATGCGCTTTGGTAGTTTCACAATTTATAAGAAAAGATGACAACGTATTACATGTGAAAGCACGTAATAGCGATTTGGATGGCCCTATCCGATATATAAGTTAGTTCTTAGATTCCCATATTCTCCTGTTTGTGTAGATGTAATTTGACTAATTTTGCATCGTTATTACCAGAGTACTAGCCATATCTTCAAATGTAACGAAATTGCTGAAAATAATACAACATTTTAGTTGACGTCATCGCTTGTTTTATGCATTTTGCGACGTTGGAAAACGACGACATTGGTATGCTGATTAGTATATATCTCACTTAATATCCATTCATTGTGTAAAAGGTCTAGACTTCTATGTCAGAATTTAACACTCTTTAGACAAAACATAAAATGACTGATTTTTCCATTTAAATAGTGTCCTGAATATATCAACAATTAGACAGTTTGACAGCGTATCTTATTGTGACCAACACGCGCACCTGTTTGGCATCAATTTAACGTAAATAGAAATAATATTTCACAACACCCGAATATTTTGTTTGGGATAAGAATTTTGTTTGTTTATGATTATGAAGCTATTTCTCTTCATACGTATGCAATGAAAGATGCATAAAGATAGCTTTTATATATGGAACTATATATTAGAATATGGATATAAGATTTGTCCGAATTAACACATGAGATGGTATATATATTTTTCAACAATTTTCCTATAAGTAGTTAGAGTTTGATATCCTGTCATCACAATATTATTTAATCGAATATGAATTGAATATATATTATCGAAAACAATGATAGAGAATCATAAAACGTTTCCAACAAACGCGCACCTTGCCGATCTATATGCATCATTCTTTGTCTATAAAACGACACAAAATTATGCAATGAACAAGACAATTCCTTTAAATATGTGTGCATGTACATTTCATACCATATATAAATCATTGTCATGAATATTATCAGTTTTGCATATAAGGTTGAATTATATCACCGTTCATTAACCTGTTCATATGAAATTGCAATATTAGTCCAAATAAATTGAATATTGTACATCATAGGAACTAAAGTAATTGCAGTTATGGCTACGTTTGATCTTCTAACACTTGTGTAAAGGTTTAAAATATGGTGTATTGCAATAAATATGTCAATTTCTTATGTAAATATGATTCAAACAATCAAAAACTTTCAAAGAATAAAACACCGTAAACCCTATATGCATGTATGATATGATATTGAACAAGGCTAAATGTAGATACTGAAGTCAGTTTCATGAAAAAGTATCCGAACTATCCGCAAAATATACATCATAATACTGACAGTGTAATCGGAAGGATATGGCGATTGTGTTTACTCTTGTTCAACCGACCTTCACCTCAAAGAAATTGCCTAATATGTACAACAATGTTGACGTATGACATCACTACCGCTGACCGATTTCTTACAAAATGGCGGCTTTGCTGACAAGGGTACACAGGATTTTGCGAGGACCCTTCCACTGATTCAGGGATCGTTTGTACATAAATATGAGATGTAAGTAATCAGAATGATTCTGACTATCTGTGTATTGTTATATGTTTTTATCGTTTTCACTATACGTAAGAGAAAAGGACAGAAATGCAGATAATTACCGTTGTCGTTCTGCGTGATTTGGCGTCAGTCATGGCGTCACGCTGCACGGAAACTTTGACAATTTCTTATGAATTATCAAATCATTGCATTGTATCTATTTATAATTTCCTATTTCTTGCTACGATACTCTTTCCATGTATATTCTAAAGGTATTGAGCCATTGCAAGCAATGAATAGACGGATGAATGTTGAAAAATTTCAGAAAATGCTGCGCAGTGTAAAATCGGGAATTTGTCTTTGTTTACATTTCACACAAACGCAGTCTTTCAAGCACAGCGTTCGTTTTCACACCCAATATGTTTCGTCTCATTTTATCTAGACAGTTATTATTGGTGACACAGACCAGTTTCAAATTGATTCTAAAATGTATGGGGAATTCAGTGATGCATTTTTCGAAGCTGAATATGAAATATACGTGATGTAATAGGCGTCTCAATACCGGCCTTCGCGAAACGTGATTTTGTAAACACTATCCAATATGGCGGAAAGCGCTCTACGGTGTTCGTGTAAGTGCATTTTCGAAAACATCCCAACCGATTCTAGATTCATCGGCAACGTTTCAGAATTATAATTAGCGAAATCATGTAAAACTGATATCAGTGATCATAAATATGTTATTTTTGAAATTCAATACTCACAGTAATTATCCGATTTTCACATTTCAAAACATACAGCAAATAACGCTGTGAATCGCGATTTCATACTGTGTCAAAAATGTCGCCATTTTCGATGAAGCCTATTTTGTAAGGTCATTTTCAGCACTTGAGCTTTGTTTAAAATAATAGTGGATGGTATCAAGAAACAGGGAATTTCCCGCAGAATTCGAAACTGTGAAGTGTATTTGTGTGCGTGGATATTTTGATTTTATTCGACTTCAAATTGAGGGTTGAAGGGGAAGGACATATATGTCCCTGTGGCATCCAGGGGCTGATTGTGTCAATCACTTGTTGAAATCGGGGCGGTGGGGTAGCCTAGTGGTTAAAGCGTTGGCTCGTCACGCCGAAGACCCGGGTTTGATTCCCCACATGGGCACAATGTGTTAAGCCCATTTCTGGTGTCCCGCGCCGTGATATTGCTGTAATA